TATAATGAGATCCCTTTGCAATGTCACTAGGGGAGTGAAATCAGACGCTCGTTTTTTCAGACGTTTGCAGAAAAAGGCTTACCAAAACAAAGTTACTGGGTTAATCTTTTTCACATTTCCTTAGTTGGTAGATGCACCGGGGACCTGATTATAGCACTTAAAACCTGGAAAAGTCAGATTTTCATGACATGTCACCTTTAAATTAAACCGCGAGAATTAAACACATAAGGATCAATCTGAATGTTAAAATAAGTACAGGTTCTATTGGAACCAAGATATACGGACGTTTAGCAAACATGGTAATTCTGGCTAAAGGCCTGTTCACACCAAGAACGATGACTATAATTCATAAAACTACAACAATAAATATAAGAGCGTCCACACCAACGGATGATAACATTGTGTTTATTATAAGCATGTGCTGTAGTTCTGTCATCCGCCGCTTTAAATGCTTCTAACTGGCTGTCAATATTTTTATTATTCATCAGCTGGAAAAAAAATGGTTCTGAAAGTGATTTCAATTATATTGTTCCCCTGTGTCGTTATTATTATAGCTGTGTTGCGAATTCCCCCATTCACACAGAATTCGAACAATTATTCAAACTTTATAGTTATAGTTATCCTCCTCTATGTGAACAGGCCTTAATTGTTGTATGCACTTGCTATTAAAAAATCCAATTCAAAATGCTACATCTAAATTCTGTCTGACATTCTGTCAAGACCTTCACACAATGCTGATAGTCAGATCACTGATAGTTGTACTGCTCTTAGCACATGTTAGTTGCAATGCTAGTTCATTAGCATTAGCAATGCATGTTGTACAGAGAAGGGCGTCTGCTCGAGGAAAGCTAGGAGGCTGTACAGTTATCTCCCATGTTGTAACTCTAAACTATACAACCTACTACCTCATCCCGAGACATCGCTGTAATAGTTGAAGGGGAGGAAATTAGAATGTCACCGCTGCTTACGTTTGCGCATATGCAAGCATTCAAAACTCCTTTACTTAATCTTAAAAATAGGTGCAATCAATTTATGCTCATAAATAGGTGCAAACTTAGATGCTAATGTTTAAAACATTAAAACAATGTTTACAGCGTAAGTGTCAACAGTGAACAGACGTTTTCTAGTCAGCGTCAGTGGCTGCAGGGAAGACTGTTGCGTTCACCTCGCAGACACATACCTATAGACACGAGCTTGTGCACAGAGTCACCACAAGTTCGGATCTACGGGTTTGTGGCAGCTGGCATCACTGCACTGCGTCACAGCTACACCAACTCCACCTTTCACTGGACACCGAAAATAATATCCACTGCATTACGAAATGCTAATTCTTATGACTGTTGAATCTTTTACCTCATGCACAGTTTAACAAAGCGGTTAAAAACAAAAAGACAGATACAGACACACATGTTTGAAAGTTAAGTAAATAAAAGATAAGATTAGGAATGCAAAAACAGAGAAAGGGACTGATGCTGTCAAATTAATTAACGGGGTCAGTTATGTATCCAAAAGAAATCGAAGAAAAAACAAACAAATTTACTCCAAGAATATTGCCTATATACAGAATAAGTCATATTGATTCGATGAGTCAAACAAAAAATCCTAAATATCACAGAAACTTCAACACTGATCAGTATATAATAACTCAGAATTAGGGCTGGGCGGTATATCGAGTTTGTACGATATATCGATATTTTCTTTATAAGTGATTTGATATGAGGCAATACCGTTTATATCGATATACAGTAGTTTGACACGAGCGCATCTGAAAATATAGCGGAGGACACATACTGAGCTGCTGCGGGGAAAGTGCATAGTCCAATTTGTTCTAAACATGTGACAAGCTTCATATTAAGGCCTTTAAAAACTGGTAAGACATAGTTTATAGTTTCGTTTCGCATATTAGTTTAAGCGGCTCGGCCCGTCATATGCTCTGACAGAAAGGCTGCATGTGCCGCTGACAGAGACACAGGCTGCTCACACTGTTTAATGTGTTTGAGATGTGCTGTCTTTCCTGAATGCATAACTTACATTTCACAGGTATATTCTCCATTTGTAAATGTTAGAAAGCCATGGAAATATTTCCATTTTTCTGTCAGAAGTGCACGAGCCTTCTGGGATACTCCGCTAAACTTCACTTCAGTGATTGAGTGCCGCCGCGCGCATGCGCGCCAAACAGACAGAGCTCAATTAAATAGGAGCGCAATAATTCTGACTAAAATATACATTTCGCTGAAATATTTGTAGTTGGACAATAAATGTGACATGTAGAATTTTAAACCTACAAGTAAGTCTATTTTTATGATAACACTGACTGTAAAGTGACTAATGGGGTAATCAAAATAGCCTAACACAACTCTGTGCTTTTGTTCTCATTTATTTTCATTTTTAGTTTAGTAAATTTAACTTCCGCTTAAAAAGCCTTATTTTTGTTTTTAGATTGCAATGTTACAATGTTAGAATGAAATGTGATTTTAACCTTTTTTAACATAATATAAGGCTTACATGGTTTCATTCACTTTATTTGTTTTCATAGCCTTTAATATATATTGTTTTGTTGGACAACATTAGGCGGTAAGTGAAATATATATATTAAATACAGATTTTTTTTTTAATACAAATACAAAAACGAAAATACCGAGATATATACCGTATATCGCAAATCAACCAAAAAACACAGAGATATGAATTTTTGCCCATATCGCCCAGCCCTATGCAGAATTATTGGGTGTGGTTTAACGAAAAATAACTAATAACTAATTAGATAAATGATTAAGGTTAAGCTCCTACTAACATTTTTCACCATAAATTCCTTGCATTTCAAATCACTACTGGTTTAAGACACATCCTTCAGAGTGAAGGTCAGTTTGAAAGACACAGGTGGTGTCTGCTGTGCCCGGATCAGACAACACCGCTACTGTTGGATCAAATATACTGCAGTGACTGACATTTGAGAATGCAGCAATAGCAGAAACACTTTATTTATTTTTTAATCTCTACACACTTAAAGTGTACAGTATATGCAACTTGAGCGGGAGTATAGAAATATCAAGTATCGAAATTTTAATAATAAACCTAACATTTTAAACCGATTTAGTGAGTTTTAGTTAAATATATATTCTGTGCATCAAATATATTTTTGGTTTACCCATTACAGTCATTTAATACACAGAAATAAGAAATCACAAACTCTGCATAAAGGGCTTTCCCAGTACAAGTTGTAGGTGCAACAAGCTGCAATTAGAAATGCCATGATTCATGGTACAGTGCCACTCCCTAAGGGAAATCAAAGGTTATTCCAGAACAATGTTAAAGATATCTACATTATAATTTGACCTATTTCTACACGGAGACGCAGTGTATTATAAAATGAAAACTGCCAGACAGAAAGAAAATAAGTTGTTGGTGGAACAAATCTTGAACATGCATACAGTAGTCTCACATTTCAAATGTGTTTCCATGGTATCGTACGACCACTCAGAACCCATTGCTGTTATTTGCTTGCTGATTTTTTTAGCCACTGGAAATGAATGAATTGTGACTTATCAAACAGTACATGGACAAAAATATCTGGCAACAACCGAACCAGCAAAATTACTTAAAAAAAAAAAAATTATGTTAAATGTTTGACCGCAGTTGACCTACATTTATTTCGGAAATGACCTTAATGTAGTGGTCTGGTATTTCTTACTTAAAATCAAAAAGTAAAATTTTGCTTGTGAAGCGAAATGGAACGTGGACAACCGTGACTTCGGAGCTTATTTTTACAGCAATGCGGAGAGCTATCGCGACTTTTAAACTAAAAAGAAATGACACGACTCGATTGTAAATAAAATGCAGTTCGGAAAAAGTTGTGACTGAAAAAGAACTAAAAGAGCGGACAGAAGAAAAAAGGGCATAGGAAAGCAGCGTACCGGTGGAGGACGTCTGTCTATGGTGCTGACCAGTTCGATGTCCATACCGGAGTCAGCCTACACCTGGCGGCAATATGGAGTCAGGCTTAGGGTGCAGACTAGGCCAATTCCATTGCCCGCAAAAAATCTGAAGCAGAAAAGAAAGACAGCACATTAGAAGGAAGTACAAAAGTGCTCATTCACACGATTGAACCATTAATACATAAACACGACCTGACATGAATGGAGAACACATACAGCACCTACAAACTCGAAAAAGAAGCCAAAACGGCAACCAGAGCAAATCGGCAAGTCATCGGCAGACAACATTGAAACAGCCCCTGTCCCCTCTTTCGCCCTCCTGTGCGGCCGGTCCTATCCGTATTTACCGTGAAAAAAAAAATAATAATACGAAAACCCTCAAAAAATGGGTCAGAAAAGGTTCCGTGGAAGACTGAGAAGAGAAGGAGGAAAGGTCGAATGCGGTGAGATGTGGTCGAGGAGGAGCTGCGGCACTGCCCTGGCTACAGGGAGAGTGGAATTTGTGACCATGCAAAGGAAAGGGTGGTGTTTTCTTTTTTCTTTTTCTTTTTTTTGGCGCTTCGCTGTGCTGGGGTTTTTTGGATCTCAGCAGGGTCCTTGGCTGCAGTTCTGACTCCCCTTAGTGGTGCCAAAATGTGGACGTTTCCCTTTGTCTTTAACTCCCATGAATAAAACTAACTGAGGGGCGATTAAAAACAAGCAAGGAGCGGATTGAAACAGAAACAAACTGACAGAGCAATGATATAAAGCTTTAAAAACATTCAGAAAGAAGTTTATAACGAAGATAAGCAGACACTGAAAGAGAAGTAGAGCGTAGTGCAGAAAAGAAAAAGCAGCTTTACGGACAACAGAACAGTCTAAAGAGTGAAGACTGAAAAGGACTGCTTTCACACCACATTTCTCTTTCTGCAAATATGCCATCTCTCCGTCTACGCGAGCAGCGCACTCGCTCTCGCTCCTACTCCTCCCTCCTTCCTTCCAGTCGGTGTCCAATCCACGCCACGTAGTGAGAGAGAAAAAGAGATACACTTTTTTTCATTCTCATCAAAATGGCAGAGACAGAAAGTTACAAGCAAGAGAGAGAAAGAGAGCTAGCGAGAGACAGCACGGCTCACTGTCCTCTTATGGAAAAAGCCACAGGAAGCAGTCCGAGTGCTGTATCATTTCTTTCTTTAAGGTGCAAACTCACTCAGATTAACGAAATGATGGCGAAAAATATTTTCGATATGCCCGACGATCAAATATAGTGCCCGCTGCAGACAGGGAGCTGTGCCCGCCATGTTAAACGGATGCAATTAATAGCATTTTGTATCTGTGTCTGTCCATCCATCGGTCTCTCTGCCTGGGTCTGTCTGTCTGTCTATCTGCTTGTCTCCATATCTATTTGCTTGTTTACATGGCTGCCTAATCCAGGCATTGGCACAGTCTCTTCAATGCTCCCTGTGTGTGTGTGTGTGTGTGTGTGTGTGTGTGTGTATGTGTATGTGTGTGTGTGTGTGTGTGTGTGTGTGTGTGTGTGTGAGTCAGTGTGTCAGTTGGTCACAGTCTGGCTGGCGGTCCGCCGCTCCCCAGATAGTCAAACATATTCGAGTGCTATTACCTCACTGTCAGAGACCCTTTCACCTACATTATTCATCATCCACCTAAAAAAATATGTATTTTTGTCCTTCTCTTTATAAATAAAACACGTTAGATTTTGTTATTTTGCAACCTGACGAAAATATTTTCATAGCCAAATGCTTTTCTACATGAAGAAGAGTGTATCCGCCCTCTGAAGTTGCAGAATCACATGAGAATTGCTCATGAAATGGTTCATGAGATCTCAATATGGCTTCCCTTTTATCCTGCAATGCAGCCCAACTCATCTATGGTGTGCAACATGGCAGGAGGGGAATAATTTCAGGGGTGCACATTCTGCAGCCAGCATGTGGTGCAACATTATATTCGTTCCCCACATTTTTTACTTTCCAAAGGTGCCAACGTGTTCTGATCAGGAGACATAGAAAATATAGTATCCTTTCCAATAAAAAATAAATAAACATGAATTTAGATCATGTTCGAAGATAAATAAATAGATAAACAAAAGATTTCTATTTCAAATAAATACTGTTATTTTGAACTTTCTATTCAAATATCCTCATAGTAATAACCATGTGGGCAGCAATTCTGGAGTAATGCTGCTGAAAATTCAGCTTCGCCATCACAGGAATAAATTACATTTGAAAATATATTAAAATAGAAAACAACCACTTTTTATTATGATCTATATTTTACTGTATTTCTGATCAAATAAATGTAGCCTTGGTGAGGCTTCTTTCAAAAACATTTGAAAAGTCTTACCAACAGTAGTGTATATACTATTAAATACATATTTAATATTAAATAAACTAATGCTAATAAATATTTGAATTATTCTGGGTTAAATGTCAATAAATTAGGCTAACATCTGCTCACAAACGACTGCAACATAATGAAATTGTCTGTAGGAGCTTATAAGGGGGACGAGGGGGGTACAAAGAGGCTTTTTAAGTCTCTTCCACATCCTGCTCCTCTTCCAACCTCCTCGCCTGCCTTAGCCCATGCCAAGCTTTAAGAGCGGGCCTCCAACATAAGGGTGAACAAAGAGGGCATTAGGATAGGGGGTAGTGTCCGTCGCTGCTGGTTCCAACATAGTGGAACAAAGAGAGAGATGAGACAGATAGAAAGAGAGAAAGTATAAGCAATATGAAACATTAACTAAACAAAGTGAACATAAAAGATTAATTGTTTAAAAAAAGTTTTTTTTTTAGTTTTTTTTTTAAACTGTCATAATGTAGATTTATGGGCATTTTCAGCAATTTGTGTTTAAATGTCCTGCACAATCTGCTAAAAAAAGATCAGTCTGAAATGGACCTTGTTAAAGGGGTCATATGATGCTTTTTTAAAGATCATTATTTTCTGTATTTGGTGTAACAGAATATGTTGACATGCTTTAATGTTCAAAAAACACATTATTTTTCAAATACTGTACATTACTGTAGGTCCTATATGCCCCGCCTCTCTCAAACAATTCGTTTTCTACAAAGTCCCTCCTTCCGACAAGCGCAGTCTGCTCTGATTGGCCAGCTGACCCAGTTGTATATATACATATATATATATATATATATATATATATATATATAGCTACAGATTAAACACAGTCACACTGCTTGCCATATCACTTTTCACTGCTCTTGTTCTCGGCCGGAGCGACGAGACAAAAACATTAAAACCCATTATAAATGAGGCATTTGTTGCATTGGGGACATA